ATCATGACCAAATAGGCTTCATCCTGGGGATGCAAGGCTGGTTCAACATAAGCAAATCCATAAATGTAATCCATCACATAAACGGAAATAAAGACAAAAACCACATGATTATCTCAACAGAGGCAGAGAAGGCCTTCGATAAAATTCAACAGCCCTTCATGCTAAAAACTCTCACTAAACTAGGTATTAATGGAATGTATCATAAAATGATAAAAGGTATATATGACAAACCTACAGCCAATATCATACTGAACGGGCAAAAGCTGGAAGAATTCCCTTTGAAATCCAGCACTAGACAAGGATGCCCTCTCTCACCACTCCTATTCAACATAGTATTGGAAGTCCTAGCCAGAGCAATCAGGCAAGAAAAAGAAATAAAGGGTATTCACATAGGAAAGGAGGAAGTAAAACTGTCTCTATTTGCAGATAACATGATTGTATATCTAGAAGACCCCATCGTCTCAGCCCAAAATCTTCTCAAACTGATAAGCAACTTCAGCAAAGTCTCAGGATACAAAATCAATGTCCAATTTTTAAATAATATTTAATATTTTAAAAATTATTTATTGATGTTGATGGAGTATAAATTATCTTTATGCTAATATTGTGTTTAGTAATGTGTTGATTTTTCATGTTAGGTCCAATTGCTTGCCTGTATTTTATCTCAGACTCTATGAAGGTAGTCAATTTCTGTGAATAGTGATTGTTTTGTTTTTATATGCCTTCCTTTTCCTGTCTTACTGTTCAACTAGAATGCCCAAATAATGATTGGCTAGAAATAATAACTATAGGCATTTCATTTTGTTCCTCATATGAAAGGAAGTAACTCTAAATATTTACCACTAAATATGATGTTTGCTACAAGTTTCTGATAGACATATGAAGGAAATTTGCCTCAGTTTGTATCTCCTGATTTTTTTTAACATGAAAGAATATTAAATTTTCACAAATAATTTTTCTGCCTCTGTTGAAGTAATCATGTGCTTTTTCTCTTGTAATTTGTTAATGTGGTAAATTGTATTAATAGATTTTTCTAATATTAAATCATCCTTGCTTTCCTGGGAACTTAACCTAGTTATAGTGTATTACTATGCATTATATGGTATAGTATGTTTTTGTTTTTAAACAAAATATAGAGTGTTTTCATTTTTAAAGTTACCAATTTTGCTGAATTTTATTAGAATTTACAAATTTATATTTAGAAGTGAAGTTGGCTTACAATTTTTTTTTTTTTTTGAGACGAAATTTCATTCTTGTTGCCCAGGCTGGGGTGCAATGGCACGATCTCAGCTCACTGCAACCTCTGCCTCCCAGGTTCAAGTGATTCTCCTGCTTCAGCCTCCCAAGTAGCTAGGATTACAGGCATGTGCCACCATGTCCAGCTAATTTTGTAGTTTTAGTAGAGACAGGGTTTCTCTATGTTGGTCAGGCTGGTCTAGAACTCCCAACCTCAGGTGATCCACCTGCCTCGGCCTCCCAAAGTGCTGGGATTACAGGTGTGAGTCACTGTGCCCGGCCTAAAATTTTCTTTACTGTCCTTGTCTTATTTTGGATTCAAGTTTATGTCAGTCTAATAAAATGAACTTTGGGGTACTCCTTCATTTTGTAATCTTGTTATAGTCTCTGGAAGAGTTTATATAAGATTGGGATTATATAGTCCTTGAAACTTTGGTAAGAATCACCTGTAAAAAATTATCTGTGGCCAGGTGCAGTGGCTCACACCTGAAATCCCAGAACTTTGGGAGGCTGAGGCAGGAGGATCACTTAAGGTCAGGAGTTTTGAGACCAACCTGGCCAATATGGTGAAACCTCGTCTGTACTAAAAATACAAAAGTTAACCAGGCGTGGTGGTGGGTGCCTGTAATCCCAGCTACTTGGGAGGGTGAGGCAGGAGAATTGCTCGAACCCAGGAAGCAGAAGTTGCAGTAAGCCAAGGCTCTGTCTTAAAAAAAAATTATTTGTATGTGATTTCATAATATAGGTAGATATAATCATTGATGTAATATCTTTCAAGATCATGGAATTTAGGTTATTTCTTCTTAAGTTTATATTGATTATTGTTTTCTAGAAGTTAACCATTTTGCATGTCTTCTGAATTAATTGACACAAAGTCATACCTTATTGTCTCTTGTTACCTGTTTTAATTTCTCGTATATTTATGGTTATATTTCTTTCCAATTCACAATTTCAATATTGCTTTGAATATCTTTTGTATGTAACATCATGCTGAAACTGGCTGTAACAAAGCCCAGTTTTAAATAGTTTTAATAACCAATTCCTCCAATAACCCAGAGTTGTGCAGAGGAATAGAAACAGAAATACCACTAAAATGACTTCTCTATAACTGCTGTCTACTGTCCCTAATTCTTCCCTGGGGAGTCACATAGCCTCAAATGTGTACTTCTACAAACTCCTTAGAAATTGTTGCTCTTATGTAAATCCAAAGTGGCAGTGTTTTGTTCCCTCCATTCAAAAAACAAGAGACAATACATCTCCCTCCTGAAAGACAACTTTTGCAGCTTAAGGAGCCTCAGTTTTTCTGAAAGTTACTAAAACACCCTGTACTCCCTTTCTGATGATCTGTCCCGAGATGTCAGCATCTGGAACTGAGTCCTTTAGTCCACGTGTAGTCTGACCAACACGAGGAGAATGAGTCTCAGACTATCCTCTCACTGGACCATTCCCTTCACACTTCCTAAAATACATTTCCTGCTTGCTCATCACACTGTTGACTCATGTTAATTTTGCAGTCAACCAAACATTTGAGTCTTTTTCACATATGCTGTTGAGGAATCTTTATCCACAAGTACTAAAAGAAGACTCCATTATATAACTCCCTAGTCTACAGACTTCCAGAGAGAATGTAAAGCATGTTTGGGTCATGAGCAAAGCAATGAGAGAAAAAGTTGAGGGTGAAGTAGTTTTCACCCTCCTTCAATTTCAGACAGTAGTATCCTCAGCATTAGAGAGGAGTTCTTTCTTTATAAAGGAAGGCACATCAGCTGGGCTATACCATAGTCCAATTTCCAAGTACAGGGAAGGAAAAAGAATTCCCATTTACTGAGTACCGACTGGGTGCCAAGTCTATGTTAGGTGCTTTATGTGTGTTTATCTCAGTCTTCGTGCTGATAACAGCACTGGGTCAAGGTGCAATGTAAATAAAGAAGGATGCAAATAAATGTCAGGTAAAGTTATTCCCATCTTATGTATGAGGAAACAGAAATTCACAGCATGACTTGCCCCAAATGATACAACTAAAAAGTAATGAGGCCTTGTTCGACTTCTACACTCTCAGCCAGGAATGAATGAATGCAGGTAGCCGGGAGGCAGCAGACAACAAGGGCAATTGTGTGATGCTTTGTCATTTAATGAAGGACAGAATTTTCACCTACATTAACTCTTTTGTATCACCTGCTCCACCTACCATAAGAAGCTAATTCTCACAACAGCCTCTTATAGTAGGTGGAGCAGGTGATATAATCTTTATTTTACAGGTAAAGATAACAGGGCTCAGAGAATTGAGGGATCTACCCAAGGTCGCCCAGCTAGCCAGTGGTAGAGACACTTTGATCCTGGGCTTTCTGACAGCAAACACCTTTTTAGGCAGCAGGTATGGGACAAGGAGAACAGCAGGGACCTGGGGCAGGGAGTGACAGATCAACGTGAACACGGGGAAAGAAAGTCCAAAACCCCTCACCAGTTCACAATTTCAATATTGCTTTGAATATCTTTTGTATGTAACATCATGCTGAAGCTGGCTGTAACAAAGCCCAGTTTTAAATAGTTTTAATAACCAATTCTTCCAATAACCCAGAGTTGTGCGGAGGAATAGAAACAGAAATACCACTAAAATGACTTCTCTATAACTTCTGCCTACTGTCCCTAATTCTTCCCTGGGGAGCCATATAACCTCAAATGTGTACTTCTACAAACTCCTTAGAAATTGTTGCTCTAATGTAAATCCAAGAAAATGTAATACTATGCTATTTATTTTTTTTAAATCTTCTTAATCCTTCAAGATGCACAGAAGAAAGCAAGCCCAGTGTATTAGTCTGTTCTCATGCTGCTAACAAAAACATACCAGAGGCTGGGTAATTTATAAAGGAAAGAGGTTTAATGGACTTACAGTTCCACGTGGCTGGGGAGGCCTCACAATCACAGTCTAAGGTGAAGGAGAAGCAAAGTCACGGCTTACATGGTGGCGGGAAAGAGAGCGTGTGCAGAGGAGCTCCCCTTTATAAAACCATCAGATCTCGTGAGACTTATTCACTATCACGAGAACAGTGTGGGAAAGACCCGACCCCATGATTCAATTACCTCCCACAGGGTCCTTCCCACAACACACAGGAATTACGGGAGCTACAATTCAAGATGAGATTTAGGTGCGGACACAGCCAAAGCATATCACCCAGGTTGATGACAGAAGCAGCTGAGGTGCCTAGGACAGAACATATCACTGCATCTGCCCCAAGCATTTCTCCTGGAAATGCATCCAGGATAGCAAGGTGGTCTTGTGCTAGCAAGGACATTAGTGCAATAGATCCTTAGGCAGATGGAGGCTGTAAACCAGAGCCTGGTGAACTTACAGATCTTTGGTTTGTTTGGCAAAACCAGAATCTTAAAAAAAAAAAAACAAAAAAACCACTCTAATGAACAAATGTGTTCATCTTACAATCCGCTGAAGACATGTAGATTTAACATCAGTCAAGTAGCCTTAGAACAATCATTTTCCCAGCTATTTAAACTCCACTTAAGTCAAGCACCAGCTTATTCCAGGCCAGGCTTTGCCTGTTAATTAACAATTCAGCTGCTGGTTACTAGTTCCCACAGGGCCTCAAGTGAGACCAAATCCCTCCAGCTGGGAGGTCCTCTTTTTCTGCAGCACCACTAATTCAGAGCTATTGCCCATCCCAAGCCTGGGTGAGAAACTGTTCCTCTGAAGCCCCCTTAGTTGTTCCAGGGATCCTAGAGCCCTCAACATTCAAGCCAGCATTCATTACCTGTCAACAGGTGGTAGATATGTAGTTTTATGGCTGTACCCAAGTTCCTCTGAGTTTTGTTTTTTCAACCAAGACCTTCAGAAATCCATACTTCCTACAGAGGATTTAAGAAATAGAAAAAAATGAAATTAAAATAAAAAGACAAAAGACATTAAGAAATTAGAAGCAGAAGCAAAACTTCTCCAGTATTTTCCAAGCCTGGTTGTGGATCAAATTCACCCAAGTACCTTAAAAGAATATGCAGATACAGAAAGGAATCTGCAGCAGAGGACCACGTTAAACATTACTAGAATGCCATTAGCAAAATGCAGACTCTGGTTAAAAAAAAAAAAAAAGAAAAAAAGAGAGAGAGAGAGAAAGAGATGAAGGAAGATGAAGAAAGAACTTGTACATTAAAAGAGACTTAAGAAACATAACAGCCAATGCAATATTTGAACTTAATTGATTCCCATTTCATTTATTTTTTAGTTTTAGTTTTTATTTTATTTATTTAATTTTTTTGATATGGAGTCTTGCGCTGTTGCCCAGGCTGGAGTACAGTGGTGGCATCTCTGCTCACTGCAACCTCTGCCTCCTGGGTTCAAGTGATTCTCCTACCTCGGCCTTTTGAATAGCAGGGATTGCAGACACACGTCGCCACATCCAGCTAATTTTTGTATTTTTAGTAAAGACAGTGTTTCACCATGTTGACCAGGCTGGTGTCGATCTCCTGAACCTGTGATCTACCTTGGCCTTCCAAAGTGCTGGGATTACAGGCATGAGCCACCATGCCCGGCCTTGATTCCCATTTCAAACAAACACAAGGTAAAAACAGACAAATGAAAAAAGAAAATTTGGGACATTTTGGAGACAGTTAAAATTTTGAACACTGGCTATATGATGATATTGAAGCCTTCTTATTTCTGTTTAGATGTAATAATGGTATCATGATTATATTTTGAAAATATTTCATATCTTGTAGAGATATGTACTGAAATATTTTTGGCTAAAATGATGCGTCTAGGAATTGCTTCAAATATGGAGGAGAGTGATTAAAAATCCAGATGAAGCATGAATGGCCATTAGTCGAAGCTTTTTACAGCTGGATGTTAGTTTCGTGGAGGAAAGTGGGGTTCATTATACTTTTTGTTCTACTTCAGTATATGTTTGAAATTTTCCATAATAAAAGTTTAATCTCCCTAGATTTGTGAACTATTTTATTTCTTTTTTCCTCATCCCTTAACACATCTATATACACAGAACTTCCTGTGTAAAATGTGTATTCAGTGTTTATTCCCCAGAGGAGAAGAAGGAAGTAAGACTAGGGTATTTTTGAACTATGTACTAATACAACTGGTTTCAGACCCTTTAATGTGATCTGTACTCATTCTAGACTGAGCCACATAGAAGACCTGTTACTGAGTCAGATCAGCGCGGTTACCTCTAAAAGATGAAAAGACTAAACTAAGTCTTTTTTTTTCTTCTGTGGAAGTACACATGTGTGTTTGCGTGTGTACATGTATGAATGGCTGTCATGTACCTTCGTGCAAGCTGTGCACTGCACAAGGTTGTCGCATCTAAGGGAGCACACTTCACCTCATCAACACATTGTAGATCTATATATTTATTGTGACAACAGTCTTGTAAGTGGCAGTAAAATGTCTTCTTCTAACAAAATTGGTATTTTTGATAACTTTCCAAAAGATGGAAGCAACAATATCTTAAAGTAGGGGCTTCTATTTTAATTATATGCATATGGTATAGGCTAGCAGTGGACCTGAACTGACTGTCTTGCCTGAGTTTGAATCCCTTCCCCAAACTCACTCACTGACAGTATAACCTTTAATAGCCCTGAGTTCAAGTTTCTTCATCTGTAAAATGGGATGATAATATTTTCTACCCTGAGAGGACTGTTCAGAGCATTAAATGCACATAAACAGTATCTGGCCTGCCCATGGGAAGTCTTCGGAAAGTGTTAGAGATTAGCTATTACCATTTCTGTTCACTCACATCAAATTTTATAGGTGTAAGTGTATGTATGTATGTTGCATTATTCATAAACTCAACTAATAAATTTTGCAGTGGACTGAAGAAAGACTGTCTCCACTATTTTACGAGTTCAAACTATTTTAAAAACAGGAGTTTTCCCTATCAGTTCTGAAAAATGCAAGAAAGCTCAAACTCCAGGTAAGCAGCCAGGGTTTCTAAGCCTCTGTGCGCACAGAAGTTGTGTGCATATGCTAATGAGAAACCCTTTGAAGAAAAATGCTGGGGTTTTTCCATTGCCCTAACTACTTGGTTCCGTAAGCCTGTCGCGATGGGAAAAGACCCAGTGGGAGCTGCCAGCCACAAAAGGGGTTTTATCCCACAGGCAGAATAGAGTAAAAATGCCTCAGGAGGTTAAAAGTCAATTTTTAAAAGGAAAGAACACAGAGTATGCTTTTAACTTGATGTTAAAAATAAACTCAGTGAGAGAGTGCGTTTCCCACCCTCTCCGCTGTCCGTCCGTCCCCTGCGCTGCCCTAAAGGAAAGAAAGAGTGCTGTTTCATTTTTATTCTTCTCACGCGCTTTTCTTTCATTATTATTGTTTTAGTCTTAGCCAAACTTGGTTTTCTGTTCACAAAACAAGTTGCATTTTTTTCTTAAAAATTCCTCGGGGATCCCCAAGAAGAAAGACGGATTATCAATCAGAAGTAGCCCGTGTCAGGATGAGTAAAAGATTCTCACCAACATAAGCAACGTGGAGCCCTTACGGCGTCCCTCGTGCCCAGAAAGTATCTGCAGGGGACATTGTTGAGGCAAGACGGCCTTTCATTGAATGCTTTTTCATATTGGGGTTTAAGTACAGCCCCTTCCTGAGGCATGACTAGACGTAGAAACACTACTTAGCTGAGTTGGTTTCAATACATTCCATTAAGCAGCCACAAAATTCCAGTAGATCGGATGTGCCAGTTTTTGTTCATGGAAAAGCAAATCTGTGTAGCAGAAAAGCTGCCAGCTGGAGTAGATAATCTTGATTTCTTATTGTATATACGCAGATGGCAGAGTGATTTCAAGACCCCAGGGGGAGCCAAAGTTGTTGAAGGACAAGGAGACCCAGGCCTGCGCACAGTACTACAATTTCGCTGGCGGAAACTGTAAGACATGAAGGGGTGGCTGAGGGCTTGAGACCTTGTTTACTTAAAAATATGTTTTTTTTTTTTTTTAAAAAAGAGAAAGAAAGACAGCCCTTAGGCAATATAAGATAAAGGAAAAAGCAGCAAAAAATCATTTTAAGAATTAAAATTCTGCCAGCATTGTGGCAAACACCTGTAATCCCACCACTTTGGGAGGCGGAGTCAGGAGGATCACTTGAGCCCAGGAGTACGCAATATGGTGAAACCCCATCTCTACAAAGATACAAAAATTAGCCGAACATGGTGGCGTGCACCTGTAGTACCAGATACTATGAGCGGGTGGAGGCTGAGTAGGGAGGATAGCTTGATCCGGGCAGAGAGAGACCCTGAAGAAATCAAGAAAGAAAGAATGAGAGAAAGAGGAAGGAAGGAAAGAAGAGAGGAAGGGAGGAAGGGAAGGAGGGAGGGAGGGAAGGAAAGAAAGAGGGGAAAAGGAAAGGAAAGAAGGAAAGAAAGAAAGGAAAAGTTCTAGCTGGATGCGGTGGTTTGTGCCTATAGTCCAGCTATTGGGCAGGCTGAAGCAAGAGGATTGCTGGAGCCCAGGAGTTTGAGGCCAACCTGGGCAAAGAGCAAGACCCCATCTCTTTAAAAACTTAGAAAATAAAGTTCTAGTCTAGGGCTGACCTCTAACTTGCAGCACGACCTCAGTTCACTGATTTTCTTCCCTACTATTTCTTTTTCACAAAATGAGATCCCTCTCTTCTTAGGTATATTCTTTAACAAGAATACATAATTGATAAATAATATAATTGATAACAAAATATTACATTTGAGTGCTTAAAAAGTGAAAATCACAGTACAAATGCATGCTTAAACACTGTTGAAATTTAATGAAGTGATTTCGACACACGTCTAGAAAGTTAGAAGGGAAATTTTGTTACTAAAGGTTGATTTTGAGCCAATTGTTTTCCAGTTCTCATGAAAGTGAAGCACTCTAGTACAAAAGCATGCCTGCGGACTCTAGCACCTCACCCAATATGGCTTGACAAATGAGTAAAGGAAGAATGCCAAGATTTCCAGCCTGCAAAGCTTCACCTCTAGGGAATCTATGGCCTTCTTGCAAGGGATCTTCTAGTTTATAAGCTCACCAGCATAATCTGAAAGCCAGTGAAAATGCTATTTTCACCATATGTATATGCCACCATTTTCAAATGTATGTAGATGGGTTGTGACTAATAAAATACAATGAACAAATTATAAATTCATCATTTGTATATGTATTATTAAAATAGACTCATTTAAAACATTACTAAAATTGAGTCAATTGTCAACATCTATTTCTTGATCAACCAATTTTAAAATTACAACTTCTTCCAGCTAGGAACTCTGGAGTTTAATATACTACAGCTTTTTGCCATCAATTGATCTCTACTGGATTAGTTCATTCTAGAAAGTCATGGAACATTGATACTTTGAGTTACTTGAGTGCCAGTAACTCCAAGTGCTTTATTAAAGGAAAGCCAGGAATCAAGTATAAGATTAAAAACATTTGAGTCAGTAACTAGTTATTTACTTATTTGCATTGTCCTGGGAGGATTAAGGATGGCTTACCAAGATGCATACATTTCAGCAAGATACAATCAGTTAAATAAAAGTGATGGGAGAAAAAGATAGGATAGAGAAATGAGTGGCAGGGCTGTGGTTAGGACATGAAAGGCATTCTGTGAATCCCACATTCTTCTAAGTGCTGGCCTATTTGTCTCTGCCCTTTGTAAGCAGCCAAAGGGAAGAGGATACCATTATTAGATATATAACTTATATTATCTATTAATAAATATACATCAGTGTCTCACAAAAAGCCCACCTCTTTCTGCTGGAAAGATGAGAGAAACTTCAAGAAATAGCAGCATCCCCAACGACATACCAGTTGCAACAGATCAAAAACAGTTTTAGCCCATGTCCTCATGCCAAAGCCAGATTCAGTAACTAATTTTTTAC